GAAGAAGGGTCTAGTCCCGAAACGTCAGCCTTCCTGCTCCTCTGATGATGCTTGGCCTGCTGTGTTCATCCAGCTCTACACCTTGGTATCTCAGATTCTCCAGCATCTGCGGTTCCTACTATCTCTGAAACAGAATCTAACTGTTCCATGTCCACACTGCACAGCTCAACCAAGGTCAAGGTCAGGATGATGCAGTGACTTTGAGCATTGTCTTTTTTGCTGTGATGATTTCCACCACTGGCTGTAAAGAAAATACCTCATAAAATACTTTACTGCCACTTTCTGATACTGTCACTCCTGTGGACCATTTATTAGCACTGTCATTCCCTAGTGCTAACATTTTCTTGTGTGATCATTCCCCAGTCTCATCATTAGCCCTACTGATATCAAACTGGAAGGTAGCTCCTAAAAGCAGCAATATCCTATTCTATCTGCCAGAACTGTGTGGCCTTAGAGCTCAACTATCTGAACTGGTGCACCGTTCATTCCTTCTTGTTTTGTCTATAAAAGTGTTAAAGGACAATTACAAATATGCAGGTAGAGGAATGATAATGCCATTCCATACAGTTTTTACAGAAAAAGGACAAAATTGTGGAGCTCAATCCCCAAAACATAAGGAGAAATTCTAGAATGCCGTATCAAAATAAAATGCCACAAATCAAGAGCCCTGATATTATGCCTACAAGCTGCAAACATCGCAACTACTATAAAAAAAGAGTTCTTCCAACTTGCCATGAACAGAGCCCAATGGGATAGTGATCAGGTTCAATGGGTGATTGCCTTTTTTCCCACAGCAATGTTCCTGAGGCCAATTGTAGAGCTCCTCCCAGCAATTTGGCTGGGGATCAAACTATACAATGCAGTTTAAAATTGGACTAAAGAGATTTAATTAAGCAACATCATTCACTGTAATTGAGATTCAGCTGAGCAATAATCAAGGTTTTGTTGTTCCTGTTTTCATTTCTTTGCCGTTGAGAAACATGGGCATTTTAAAAAAAAACTTCAATTTGACTTTCCCCAGTTTTAGGTGAATATGGAACAGACTTACATTGTCATCAGGATAAGTAAGCAACAAAACCAATTGTCAGTTCGTATGTTAAACCAATGAGTGGTACAGCAAAGAAGCAGGCTGTATGCTTTCCTCTATGTGACTGCTAGTCTACTTGCACTCTCATACCTTTTCATGTTTCTCTTTCCCAAGCAACTGTCCAGCTCCCTTTAACAGATATAAAGGACTTCTTTATCAAAGACCAGTGACAGTGATTTTGGCATTCCAATTAGCCTCCAGAAATTCCCCTTCCAGGAATACACAAGAAAAGGTGTAATAAACCAACTGTACCTCTATAATATATGCTTGTCTGGTGCTGTAATGCTATTAAACAGTGTGTGTTGTGAAGGTTACAGCTGAGGACAGCCACTAGACACCCTTGTGCCTGCAGGTTAAAAGGAAAAAAGTAGAAAGCTTTTTTCTCTCTCTAATTGCTGGAAGCAAGTGACCAGTCAAAAGCCAAAGTCAAACAGGAAATTGAATAACTTTTTCCAGCAAATCTGCTGAATCCAAAATTTCCAAATCAACTGCTCAACTGCCAAAGTCAATGCCACCAGTATCACTAAACATAACGTTCCACCACCCACTCCATGTAGACAAACCAAAGACCGATTCATTTATCTATCTTACTGTTATATTTTTGCTCACTTTTCATTCCTAATCTGTGTGTATGTATGTTGCATTTTATTTTTCTTCAAGTTTTGTGAGCCAATGAAATGTCTCTTTCTGTAACTCGATGAGGCCTGGTTAAATTGGTTCCTTTTATATGTAAATCTATTGGAATTAGGAATGGTAGTCATGAGGGAAGGGATCCCTTGTTTTAAGTAACTTTGTTGTGACTTACAGTGGGACAGGATTGAATAAAGAAGGGGAGTCAGTTCCTCCTTGCTCTCTCGGGATCATAACAAATTCGTGACCTTGCCTGGATACTGGTTGGATTATAATGCTCCTTTAAGATGCTGCTTAAAACCTCCCTGTTTGGCAATTGTTTGCAAAATTTGGATTTAGAGGAGGAATGCTGTTCTTTTCTCTTCACTGGCTCACTGGAACTGAGATGTCACTTCCTCTGAAATCAGTACAGACTTGAATCCAGAAACTTCCCACACTGCGTAATTAGTTCTGATAGCATTAACCAGTTTAAGATATTTTTAAAAGTTCATAGTAATTAAATGGTAACAGATTTAAATAAAATGATGCTTGAGAACTCACATTTTAGAAAAACTAAGTAACCAATGAAAGTGGTGAAGGTTGGTAGTTAATGTTGGGAGGTGCAAAGGAAAAAGCTAGATTCCTGTCTGGAAAGCCATGTGAATGAGATGAGGTTTGAGAAGTTTGCTTACCTGGGATCTGGCAGATCAATAATTGTGTGATAAATAGTCCCAGCAGCAGGTCCAGTGTCCATTGGAGCACAGTGTGATTTTTCAAGACGAGCAGGATGGTCAGGTCTCAGAGTCCTGGCCTGGGCTTCCTCTAAGGTTAAAAGCTTCATTGATGGTGAAACAATAGGGAGTGATTTGCATTTTGCAATAGGATTGTGTGCTGTGGGGATAAATCATATCGATCAGGGGAATACTATTTATGAAGGTGCACATTTCTTCTGTCTGCCACTCTATCAAAATCACTGTGTGAAATCACCAATGTTTCAAATTTAGATGACTACCCTCATAACCATTTAAAAAAAAACCCTTTTACTCAGTTGTTAATTATATAGACAGTGGTATCTTTATTCCAGGCAGCTGCTGTATGTGGCAGTAATGAGCTATGTTTGTGCATGAGCATGTTCACTGTGCCACCTAGCAATGGCATAGACAATGAATGCAGCTTATCAGAAATCTAACCTCAACCAACCTTCAATGTTTGCACTTCTGATTGCAATGCAGGCAGGAAATGCTATTGAGGGGTGCGTCAGTAATTTAAATGTCACTGCTTCAAGTTTTATCACAGTTTTAAATGTAAATGTAAATGGGAAGTACAGAGGATCAGAGGGACCTTGGTGTGCATAGATCCTTGAAGGTAACAGGACAGGGAGTTAAGGTGGTTAAGAAGGCATTTGTGATACTTGCCTTTACTAGTCAAGGCACTGAATGCAAGAGAAAGGTGGTTATAATGAAGCTGTGTATCATGTTAGTCAGGCCACAGTGGGAGTACTGTGTGCAGTTCTAATCACCATACTATGAGAAGGATGTTATTGCACTAAAGAGAGTGCAGAAGATATTCATCAGGGTGTTATCTCAAACGGAGTGATTCAGTTACGAAGAGAGACCAGTTAGGTTGGGGCTGTTTTCCTTAGAGCAGAGAAAGTTGAAGAGGTATCTGATTGAGATGTACAACTTTCTGAGGGGCATAACAGGTTAGATAGGGAGGATCTTTTCTCCGTAGTACAGGGATCAATAGCCAGGGGGTGCAGTTTTAAGCTTAGGTGCAGGAAATTTGCAGGGTATTTGAATAAATATTTATTTACTTAGAGCATTGTGGATATCTGGAACTCACTGTCTGACAGGGTAGTAGAGATGGGAACTCTAAGGTATTTAAGAACTATTTAACTGAACACTTGAAACACCATAGCATACAAGACTACAATCCAAATGCTGGAAAATGAAATTAGATCAGGTGGATTTTTGGTGACTGGTGTGGACTAAGTTTGAACTGCAGTCCTTGTTTGTCACATATAGGCAGACCAGTGGGGTAAATGCGTTTTCTGAGTAGTAAATTGGTTGAAGTATCTGTATAGAATATTTCACAGGCAACACCCTACACTTGCAAAGGATTGCAGCTGTTCAAGAAGGCAATTCACCACCATCTTCTGCAGGGCAAACAGTTGAGAGACCATTCTCACAGAGTATGAGCATCCTGCTCACATTTCATTCTGATAGTCAAGATCGGAAATATGTTGCTGTTGCTTTTCTCACACCTACCTTCAGTGTCCTGCGCAAGTTGGACTGTGTTGCTAATGAAGAGCTGATTGACATGATTCAGGATGAATTCAATAACGATGGACTGGACTCGAACCTCCAGAAATGCAGCATCGTTGTTATATCCAGACCCTTCTATTTCTTTTGATCTGGGCAAGAAAAAGCACTAGGACCGTAAATATCATGTCAAAGAGTTGATTGGTATGCAGTACTACATTTTGCAACAGAACCTATAACAACCAACACCAAACTGATCATTTTGAACCTGAATTTCCCATGGGATCCTTACATTCCAGGAACATTTATTTCTGTATGGTTTGTTTTTTTGAGTATGTTTACGTGCAATCTTAGGTACATTGCAATAGGGACAGTGTGGGAGTGTAGATTTCATAGCACTTGTAGACAGTACCCCCTAAGGAATGTGAGATCCTTCAGTTCTAGCTCCACTGTTGCCAAGGCCCTAAGCTCGTAAATCATCCTCTAACATTCACAGTTCTCTACCTCTATTTCATCCTTTAAGATGCATCTTCTTTTACCAAGCTTTTGGTTATCTGACGTGTCAAAGTGGGAGGGAGTGGCAGGAGGCTTATTGTGCACTGATTAGGATGGCGTTGTTCACAGGTTCAATACCTCTATGGGATAAAACTTCCTGTCAAGCTCCCCAGTAGGTTTCTGATAGGTGTAATCTTTTCTTCATTCATGGGGCATCGACATCATTGGCTGGGTCAGCTTTTATTGCCTACCCCTAATTACCTTGAGAAGGTGGCATTGAACTGCATTCTTGAACAAGTTCAATCCATGTTGAGTAGTAACACCCACAATGCTGTTAAGAGGGAGGTCCAGGATTTTGAGCCAAGAACAGTGAAAGAATGGCAATACATTTCCAAGTCAGGATAGCATTGCGGTTTGGAAGAGAAATATTGTATTGTACCAAAGAGCCCTCTATTTTCTTGGCCCTTCTGGTAGAGATGCTATTTGTTGCTTGGTCTCTTGCTGAGATCAGTGTTGCCATGGCTAAGATCATCAGTACCTTCAGGCGGGCTGGGAAGATGGGAATTGTGGCTCGATTTACAGGGAGTTTTTTGAATCCTTACCACCTCCATACCCAAATATCCAGACTGTGCAGTGCCCCACAGTGAATTCTCCTATCAGATGTTTGACCTTCTCTGGGACAGAGAGACAAATGAGCTGGCAATGAGGTCTTCCATCCGTCACACCGAACTGAATGAAGAGACAAGTCTGCTGTATTTAGTGAGGCATGCGAGAACATGAAAGCTGAACACTCTGTTATCAATCATGACGGTTGAGGTTGGAGGGGCTGCACATTTCGGCACAGTCAAAACAGCTGAGGAAACTTTTCTGCCCCCTTATGAGTTTCCTTTTATTGAATAAAGAAAACAAAACTGCTTCTGCTCTGATGGGCCGCATGTAATATTTTCCTATCAAGCCCACACACCAGTAAGGTTTAACTTCACAGTGCTGTCTGAGTGGGGCCTCAGAACTGAGAAGTTTGAGTTAGTGCATGTCAGACCACACATTGGTCTTTCCTGTTTATAAACAGTGTCATAACATGGATCCAACAGTTTACTCTAAAATAGGATTTGAAGAATCATCAAGTACTTGAATTAGTCACTGAAACAACTTTGGGTCATTTGTATCTGGTCCCAGTGAAAAACATCTGAAGAGAATTTGGCAGCCTGGAGATGATCTCATTTTCATGTTTTCTTTGGACCCACTGGGTGGTTAGTTTAATATTGTGCTGAATGGTTTCAGTAAGAATGCACTGCCTTTTCCAGGTCAAATTTCATTTTTTTTCATTCAATGCTGAGGAGGTGGTAACTAATCTCTGGAGGTCAGCAATAGACTGAGAGAGACCAAACACAGATTGGGTGATCACTGTAATGAACTCAGTCTGCAACTGTGACCCTGAGTTTCCAATACCTGTCATTTTAACTTGCCAGAGATAACAAGGTGTAGAGCTGGATGAACACAGCAGGCCAAGCAGCATCAGAGGAGCAGGAAGGCTGACATTTTGGGCCTAGACCCTTCTTCAGAAAAATTCCTACTATTTCCTACTAGTTCCTACTATCTCTGAAATGATTTTAACTTGCCATCCTACATTGCTCTCTATCCTCAATTCTGATAGAGCCATTCACACCTCCTCAAATGCGTAACTTACTTGTTTTACCTATTACCTTGCACCAACATCCCTTTTGTGATTTAATCTCTCCTGCCTTTTTGCCCCCAAAACAGATCTTGCATTTTGTTATTTGTCCACCTCTCCCTTCCCTTGTCTCTATACTTGCGTAAAAACTACTCCATCGCTAACTTCTTCCAGTGCAGACACAGGTCATCTTCTGAAACGTTAACTCTGTTTTTCTCTCCACAGATGTTGCCTGACCTACTGAGTATTTTCCGCATTTTCTGATTTTATTTAGATTCCTAACACCTGTTGTATTTTGCAATTGTAGTCATGCAACAGATGGAGTTTTACAATTCTCAACAATCGTTGTCTCAGTCATCATGACTGAGGGTAGATTTGTACTTGAGATTCATTAAGTGAATGTAAATTCCACAGCTACAGTGGTGGGATTTCAATGTTAGCCTGGGCCTCTGCATAATTAGCTCAATGACATTATCATTTCCTGACTCCCCAAAGCCTATCCACCGTCTACAAGACTCAAGTTGGGAGTGTGATGGAATACTCTCCATTTGCCTGGATGAGTGCAGCTCCAATAACAGTGAAGAAGCTTGGCACCATCCAGGATGAAGCAACCAACCTGTTTGGCATAATGTGCTGAAACATCAACTCCCTCCACACCTAACACTCATTAACAGTAGTTTGCACTATCCACAAGATGCACTACAGAAATTCACCAATCCTCCATATAAACCAACTTCCAAACCATGACTACTACTATTTAGAAGGACAAGGACAGCAGATGCATGGGAACACAATCACCTGAAAGTCCTCTACAAGTTACTCAACTTCCAGACTTGGAAATATATCACCGTTCCTTCTGTCTTGCTGGGTCAAAATCCTGGAATCTCTCCCTAATGGCATTGTGGGGGTACCTGTGCCAAATGGACTGTTGTGATTCAAGAAGGCAGCTCACCAGCACCTTCTATCGGGCAACTGGTGATGGGCAAGAAATGATGGCCCAGTTAGCAATGCCCACATCCCAACAGTGAATAAAATAAGGTGCTTACCTTAATAAATTGGGAGCCCAGACAAGGGCCAGGTTCCTAGAGTGCATGTTTGTCTTTGTGCTGAAGGAAGCAATATGTGTCAAATGTTTGATCAGGTATTCCAGAGTTCTACAAGAGGAAGGTGGGAAAGAAAAATAAAAATATGAATGAGATTACCACTATTTTATGAGAAAAATGATATCTACTCAATATGCCATGTTAAAAAAATACAAACATATTTAGATTTTGCATTGACAAAAATATACGTATTTTTCCAACAAAATGTTCATAACTACCATAATAAATATATTGGTGTTACAGTGCATAGGTGCAAAGGATTTAATGGAACCAAACCAGACATCACTCAAGTTCTAACTATACCTTCCCAGAGTCAGTCTGTCTAATATGCACTGCTGGGGAATGCAGTTTGTAAAACAATCCCTTGATATTACATAGAACATAGAACATAGAACTGAATAGCACAGGAACAGGCCCTTCGGCCCACAATGTTGTGCTGAACCTGCCGCCAAATGAATCTAATCCCTTCTGCCTATTCTCTTCCTTTTCAAATTACCAATAAAAAACACAGACTGATCTGAGTTCTGTGTTTCAAAACTCCGCAATATCTTGGAGTTGGAATAACATAATGTACACAACAAACATTTTAACAAGATATCATTCTTTTCTCTCCTTTCTTCCAATTTCTGCCTGCATTCCCCTACAGAGTGCTTTCACCTTGGAATGATACTGTTGCTGAGAGATTAGTTCCCTGTTGACTGCCTAAAACAGATTTAGTGCACTGAAAAATGCAGCTACATGCGGTTCCAAATTATTGGTTGGGTATTGTTTAGCACAGCAAAGTTAGAGAGCCTGCTTTGTTACCTGTAATGTGTAGGAGGTAGCTCTTTAATGACACTTTGGATTCTGATCAGCTGCTCCTCCTCTGACTCAGCAGAGACTGCCTCCTGTAGGTGAAGACAACAGAATTTGGTGAAACTTTGAGCAGTAAAATTACACCAGGGTGGCAAGTTGGCCAGTGGTTACACAAAGGACATCAGCGAACCAGATGGGTCTTTACGACAATCAACTGTGGTCATCACTGGGCCGGTTCCTTACGCCGGGTTCCATTGGATTAAAATGTCACAGTATGCTAGGGTGGGATTCAAACCCATATCTCCACACCTAGGGTTCTGGTCTGCTGTCCAGTGACATCGTCAGTACACCTCCACCTCCCTTAATTCTGTTTGCTCATATGCATGTGTTTGCACCTATGTATACAAATGTTCTTGAAATTTTATAGGTAAACTTGTATATGAGTATGTGTATATGTGCAGTGACTGCACATGTGTTTACATATGTTAACAAGCTATTCAATAAGGCTTCAACTTCCAATAAATTCCTCTGTCTCCTCCTCTTTCTTATTTCAGATATATAATGTGATGAAAACTCCATATGGATTCTCCTGTAATGTACCAGTCCACATTCAACAAAAGCCAAGAATAAAACATAAGGGGAAAGCAGAAACAGATACAGAAATCTATGCATCCAAAGCAGTAACTAGCTAATGGTAAGGGATGTGTATGTTCCGCTACCCTTTGAGAAAAAAAGAAATGCCCCTTTAAGAGGCCAATAAGCACAGATGATAGATTTAGAATTTACTGCACCAGATTTTATTGGTAGGGCTTGTGCTGTAGGCCTCACTTTCACCAAAAGACAAAATGTCGGCTCCAACATGTGGAGTGCAACTAAATGTTGCCTGGAGACAGCCTTGTTAATTCAACTCAAATCACATCTCATAAATCAGACACATGAACGTGGGAATTTTTGACCTATGCCAGTAGAATAGGGCCTCCATAAACATTAACTTTATGTGAGCATGTGTGTGACCAGGGGCCTGCACTTTTCCTATTACTGATGGGATCAGGGAAAGGTAAAGGAACAATGACTAATAACATTCCCATATGGAAGTAAAAGCCTTCAGTTTGCACTAAATAGCATCTGTTGAGAAAAATGTCAGTAAGTCAAATGGAAGTGAGAAATGAAGTTTTCATACTTGCTGAGGTCCATGGTTTAGAATGTAATTCCTAACTTTAGCAAAGAAGGATAGATATAGGATGCCATTCTATGCGGAATAATTGATAGAGACCTAGATTTCCTGTTAGTTCTGTGTCATCAGAGGCTACGCTGTCACTTCTCCATTTGAATTTCTTCGCTCACAGGAAGTTTGACACCTCTGTTAGGCCAATATGTGACTATATCCCACAGTCAGTAAGTGTGATATTCAGTGTAGCACTGAGACCGGCAAGCCGATATTGGCATGGGCAAGTAGTATGACCCTGACTTAACATCAGAGGAGCAGGAAAGTCAATGCTTTGGCCTGCTGTACTTTTCCACCCTCACACCTATAGACTCTGGCTTCCAGCATCTGCATTCCTCATTGTCTCCATGACTTTACATCGCAGGTTATGGAAGTAAAGCAAGTCAGCTTTGAATGCTATTTGGCAAACCCGCCAGCAGACCTTGCCCCTGTGCCCCACCCATTTGCTGTGTGTGAGTATGATCATGGTGGTTGCCCTACTGCCTTCCCATAGATACCCTTCCAGCATTCAGTGTCCAGGAAGAGCAGCCACTTCCCCAGCTGCTGGAGGATTAACATTTGCCTGCAGGATGGAATCCAGCGCAAATCACTGGGATGTGGAGATAACTGACGACAGAAGAGGATGTATACTCACTGTGAATTTTTTGTAGAGCTCATATGTGAGAAGAGGATTGGGCAGCTCGCGGAAGTACAGTTTGCAGAGGGACCCCACACAGTGGATATCTTGTAGATACACTTCCTTAGTCAGGTCAGGACGCTGCTCTGTATCGAACTCCTGCCTACAAGAGCAGGCACAAAGACGTTATTATTTCAGGTCTTTATATTTGCAGTTATAAGATGATGCAATGATTGTCTGGAGTACCATATCAGTGCAAAACATGGAAAATTGTTTTCCAGGTGATCACTTCCAGTCTGACCTGAACTACAATTACAGAGAGTTACAATACTTTCAATTGACTAATGAAACTGTAATGCTGCAATGAATTACGAATCCAAAGTGGAAGTCACTGCCAAATTTAATTAGATCAAAGGATTTATATTTCATTGGCTCTCCTCGTGAAAAGGAAACATCCCCAAGCACTTTCCACGGCTGAGTGAAGGAGAAGTGGATAGTGAGGAGCAAAGGAAAATATTGAATGAGGTAACCTGGTGATATGACACAAGTTGGGCAGATGATATTGAACTCTCATTGACAATGACAAAGCAGGAACATGTGATTAAATGGCCTACTCCTGTTCCTGCATTCTTAAAAGGAGAACAAAACATCAAAGAGGGACTGAACAAAATACAGAGTCAGACAGAAGTATTTTAAGGAGGCTTTTGAAAGCAGAGTAAATGGCAGGTGGGAGGATAGAAGAAGATAACTGCATTACATGTAAGAATGACTGTGAGGAACTGAAGTAGCATCCTCTGTCAGGGAAGCAAGGTGTGTGTGTAGCTGGAGCTGATGAGTGGGGAAAGTGGAAAAAGGCTATCAAGGAATTTTAATATTGAGAGAAAGCTTCTTATAATCAATCTCCTGGGGCACAGAAAGCGTGGAATGGTAATGGAGTTCAGCCAGGGCTGGGTTTTGCAGTTGATCTCATGAGAGAAGGTGAAGAGAGAAGTATCCTGCTTTCATAGAGTATGGAGGCGGGAAGACCAACATGAAAAGCGTTAGGGAAGTCAATCCTCAAATTGGTACAGGCTTGGATTAAGTTTCAGGAAGAGGTAGAGATGGCAGTGCTGATATTTTTGAGATGACAAAAGAGGTCTTGATGAGGCATAAGACACGGGATTGGAAGGACATTTCCGGGTTAAGCAAAATGCAAAGCCATTTCACGTGTGAGTGAAGACCAAGGAGGCAGCATGGAAGCCTAGTGAAGCCGAGGTAAATATGTTACAGGTGCTAATAAGTGAGAAAGCCTTCTGTTTCTCAACATTGTGTTGGAGAAATTTTGACTCACTTTAATTTTATTGTCAAATAGGAAACTGGAATGGGGAACAAGAACACTGGAATTGATAACGTAAGTGATGGGATAGCTTGTACGTGATGATGTTAAATAATGGAGCAGAGGGTACCAGGTTTCAAGCTGATAGCAAGTTACCATTTGGGAAAGGGTGAGCATCAATAAACTAAAAGAATAGTTTCCCTGTATTGACTTACTTATGTTTAGTCATACGTTGTCTCTGGTCTGATTCAGAAAGGGATATGTTTTTCCAAAACTATAAAACTATGATTGGCCCTGATTTTAACACATTAAATGCTCACTCACTTGCACAGAATTAACCTTCGCTCTTAGTGTTTTCGTTTGTTGATTGTTGTAAGGTGCTCTTCAGGGTAAATTTTTACAGGTGTTGGTGTATGCTACTGACTTACATCTTGAGCCAACTGACTTTAAACAAGAGATAGTAGGAACTGCAGATGCTGGAGAATCTGAGACAACAAGGTGCAGGGCTGGATGAACACAGCAGGCCAAGCAGC